TTTTTCCAAATACCTATGTATAGCGAAGAATACGATGTGTTCGCATTGGACTCCATTTTCAGTTTATTCAAGTCGCCAGTAGAACAGAAAATAACAATGGAGTGTTGATAGAAAGCAAAACAAAAAAAGTTGTTGAAATGTTCAACATGAAATTGAATATTTTGCGAACAACAAATTTTGTATCTGGTTTTTAGCACAGCTGTGATATGTACACAGGGTGATATTTGTTTTTTATTTTTCGTGTCCTTGTTACAGAGTTTTCATCATGTCCGTTAAACATGATTGTCTGGACAATATACAACAACAGCAACAACAAAAATACGAAATCACACATATGTACATTTTTATATACCGAAAAAAATATCTCCATATATATGTATGTATATTGAGAGTGAAAAAACTTCTTTTCTTTATAGTCTGTTTTGGTTTTTATTTCAAGTTTCATGTGGAGCCAACTTGTTTCCTACACACACACACACTTACATACATGCTTTTGGACGCGAATATGTGCAAATCTTTTTTTCCCATAAGTGTATGTGTAGACACATGCTTTATATTTACATTTATTTACATACACACACACACATTTTGTTGGATTTTTGCAATCCCGACAAAATCCATTCGAATGTCCTTTTTATGTCCACATGGGAGATTTGTGTTCATTTTACACAAACGGAATAAATGAATAATATTTTTTTCCTGGATATTCACAATCGCTACAACTTTGGTTGAATTCCTTTTTCGCGTTGTACTTCATTGTTTTTTGCAGTTCTATATACATACATATATGAGCTTGTGTATATCATTGGTCGCTGAATGCTTAAGTGTTCCAAATGGTAATTTTTGACATTTTGAGATACATATATGAATTTTGTACGATTCGAGTTCGGTTCGAGAAAATGCAAGTTTTCATATTTTTTAATTTATTTAATATAAAAATATAATATTAAAAACAATTTTGACATTTTGAGATATATAAATTTTGTACGATTCGAGTTCGGTTCGAGAAAATGCAAATTATCAATTTTTTTTTAATTTATTTATATAAAAATATTATTTAATATAAAAATATAATATTAAAAACAATTGCATATTCAACCAAAAGCCACGTTTTTGCTGGAAACCATGAAGTGTCTTATACACCTCATATGCATTCGCCTACGATATCGCCAAATTACATCATAGACATTCTAATACAGTGGGTAATAGAGGAAATTTGGGGAAATGTTTTCCTTTATTTTCGTCATTAACAGGTTATATTAAAAATATCGATTGTAAAATTGTGCTCAAATATAAATCTTTACAAAATGCCTGCACATACATATGTGACAATTTAATATATACACAAATTTCCTAATTGCCAGTGAGCGCCACTGTCTCCCGTTAAACTTCCCACGACATAAAACTTTTAAGCATATTATTTTTCCAGCAAAGGGAAACTGTAGCGAAAAAAATCACAAGCATTATTCAAATTTATTTTTCAACTTTTTCTTTGCCCCTATCTCCCACAAAATTATTTTTTTTTTATCCCTGGCCATGGATTTTCATTCATTTTGTTTCATTATCATTCGCGGTGTTTCATCTACTTTTAATGTATTCGTGGTTCAAGTGAGAAATGGCGTCTGGATGAGTGGTGTGTGTGTGCTTGACATAAAAGTGACATGAAGCGCAAGCCAGTGATATAATGGTAGCATTTTCCTCCTGCATCTTTTTTTAATTAACTGGCATTGGTTTTTGCATGTGTGTGTGTTCTATTTGAGTAGTGATATTTTTCATATACGAATGCATAAATTTTTTACCAGCCCAATAAGACTCATCTCATCTCACCTACCTACATGTTATGTTATAGATGGAAAAACTGTCACTTGTTTTATATTTTGCATAGGCGTTTTGTATGCGCAATTGTGTTGGTGTGTGTGTCTGTCTTTAATAAATGTATGAAATTCATCATCAGGTGTTGAAATATGACGGCTGTTGCTTCCCTCTACTCTTGTCATATTTGATTATTTTTCTGTTTTCATTTTTTTTTGTTTAGGTTGTTGTTATTCCATTGTGTATTTTGTGGAAAAGAGACAATATTAGCCAAAAATAATGGAAAATTGTTTAATTTTAATTATAAGTATAAGAATTTGTTAATGGAAATTGTGTATTCAACATTTGATATAGGAAATTTAATAAAAAAGATGAAATAAATAAAATTTATTTATTTTTTTAGAGAAATTGAAAGCCATAAATATTTCCACCCAAGAAATCACATTCATATTTAATTTAAAACAAATATTTTTAGGTTAAAAATGTATTTTATGCCCTTAATTAAATTTTAACGGAAAATAAAAATAATAATTTGTATGTATCCGATTTTTTTAATTGTTGACAGATTGAATTTTGCAACATTTTCAATCAAATATTTGGCCTGTTCCCGTACTATTTTTTACAATTTATTTTGATACCATAAAGGAAAAATTGTTATCGTAGTAAAAAATAGTAGATTCTTGCAGTACGGGAACATTCCAATTGTTGCTTTTGTTAAAGTTGTATATTACACACCCAGTTTATGCATACGCATTATTGGACGAGGTTTACAACTGAGGATATTTATCATCATTTGTATTGAATTGTTGCAACATATAATATAAATATCAAACACATGAAGTTTTTAATTTTTATAGCGATAGAATATTTTCTACAAACCTACTAATGACTTTTTTACTACACTCAGGTTTCCATTTTTTTATTTCTTCCAAAAATAGAATTTTATTATTTATTTCGTAATTAAAGATTATATGATCAAACAGATTTTCTATGAAGAGAGAACGAGTTACAATTGAAATTAAAAAATATTTAATTTGAAAGATTATATGTTTCGATCATACAATTTTCTAAACAACAACCACGAATTACAAAAATTTTCCGCGGATTTTTATTCCGAGCCTGGGCAATATTTCGTGATAGTTGCACCCTCCTGCCCCATTAGAGGTCAACAGCACCTCTTCCTCACACTGACATATTTTCCGAATATTACTAACAATCGGTACAGTCCTTCTAATTACTTGTCCATATTCCCTTCACGGTGGGTTCGGCTTATAATTGTGGCCTATAGATCGGCTCGAAATAACACAAAAATTTAAGTTTTCGGTCCACTTCATCACCATATTATTATCTGATCATCACCGAAAATTATAGACGTTGTCCTTGACCATACCTGGATCCTCGTGGAAATTTTCAAAGCGATCAGCGCTTTATTTCCGCCATCTAGTGGGTTACTAAATAATATATGAATACGTAACTACCTGTAAATTTAAAAATTTTCACACAAAGTCAGAGTTTATTTGTCCGCTATATTGACCGATATTTATCAAAAAAAAGTGATATAATGGTATAATGGGTCTTCATTGGGAAGAACCCATCCTACATGCAAAATTTCGTGAAGATTGGTCCATAACTGTGGCCTGTATCGTGTTTACAAAATATAAGGGACAGACGGACGGAAACACATGTCTAGATCGGACACACATGTCTATTCGAGATATGACGATCGGTATACTTAAAGGACCACTATTTCGCGGGGTTACAAACTCTTGGGGCTGCACAAAGCTATAATACCCTGACAACATAGTTGTGTAGGGTATAAAAATCTTGTCTAAGAAAATTCTATTTATTTTGAAATTGTAATTAGAAATCAAGTAAAAATGTGAATACACCTTAAAAGTCATACCTACAATGAAAATATGTATATATATACAATTTTACACATGAAAAAAGGAGCAATATTGGTGATATATTGGTATAACTATACAAGGTAGTCCCATGCAGTCATTTCAAATTTTTTCATAAATATGCTTTTGACAATATTCGGTTTTCCAAATTTAAACGAAAATATCTTCCTTCGAAATGTAAGCAAATCTTGTGTTCAGTTGCAAAAAATTTTGAATCATTAATATTTATTAATATTTTTATGCTCCCTTCCTATAGATAAATCTTGAAAAAATGTAGAGGAGAAAAATATATATATATATATATATATATATATTTAATTTGCGAAAAATGTTCAACGCCATGCTTAACATTTCTTAGAATTTTTTTTCATTTTATTTGAAATTGATATATAAATTCCATATTAAAAAGGGTTACCATTATCACTTTATGAAATGAGAAATCTGGGTTTAGAAAATGGGTTAAGAAATCTGTTCCCTTTTATAAAGTTAATTTTGATAAAAAATAATGAATATTAAATATAGTGTACCATTTGATAATAAAAGCTACAACTTTTAACACTTTCTAACCTAATATTTAAAATAATAATATTTAATTTAATTTTAAATGCGAAATTACCATATTAGTGTTTTCAAAAATTGGAAACATCGAAAAACGGGGAGATAATTACAAAGACAATTTTTTTAGAATCCTATGATAGTGCAAAAGTTTTCAATTTGTACACTTTCGAAATTTGTATACTGCGTAAATAATAATAGGTTTGTCTACTAAAAAATATGCAAACATGTTTGGTCCGTTTCAGAACATGCAAGAATTTAAAATTTTTTACTACGATAACAATTTTTCCTTTATGATATCGAAGAAAATAGTAAAATCTAGTAGATTCTTGCTGTACGGAAACAGACCAGTTATTATGTCAATTGTTATATTTTTTGTTAGAAATTCACCGAAATGTGACTACAATTTTTGTATAAAATTGCACCTTAAAAAATTTTGCGATATAATAAATATATACATCAATCGTTATACCTTGCGTTGACTGTGTGTATTTTTTAGAGAAGCAATAGTGGGCTATTATTGATACAACTTTTCATATTACATACCAAATTTTTCCACTTAAAAAAAAATTGTCACAACAGAAGAAAAAAATATTATTAGAAAATACAAAAATCCAATACTATCTACTTCCTTTTTAATCCAATTCGAATTTAATTGTTTTTCGTCATAGTATTCCTTTAAAAAACGCACACACACACAATCTCACATAAATTCCAATTTGAACTTACCGTCGGTAGTTTTCTTTTTTGGCAGCACCGCTTTAAATGCCGACACAGGTTGATAATCTTGTTGTGTATTTTGTTGCTGGGCACTCGTTTGATGGCTATGAGCCTCCGACGCTAAATTTGGACTATGCTGGGCCTGTTGTGGCTGTTGTTGCTGATGATGATTATGCATCTGATGATGCACTCGATGGTGTATTAATTGTGTTGGAGATGGTATTGTCGCCGCCATTGTTGTCAAAACGCTAATATCACGAATTTGTAACGAGGAAGGTTGTGTTACCGCCGCTGTGGTGGTATTTACAAACGGGCCAGGAAAATCGGATGCAATAGCTGGTTTAAAATTACCGAGACTATAGTCGAGCGGTAAATGTGACGTAGATGCAGCCGTTGTAGGTGAACTATTTGTATAGGAGGAAGCTGTTGATGTTATGGAAGTGGAATTGGAGTTTGAGGAAGATGCGTTGGAGGATATTGTTGTTGTTATAATCGGTTGTGTGGAAGTAGGAGTATTATTGTTTGCCGTTGCTTGGGAGTTTGATGGTAAAATTATGGGTTTAACATCCATGTTGTATTTGAAAAGCACAAAACGTTATCAATATTTTTTTTACTGGGAATGCAAAGGAATTTATTTATTTTTATTATTATTATTATTATTTTTTTTAATTTTTAAAACACAGTTTTGTCTTGTAAATTATTTTACATTTGCTATATCATCACTATTCCTTATTTTTATAATGGTTCACTTTTGCGTATTTTTTCTTATATCCAGATTTAACACTCGCGTCGGAACATTTATGATTAAAATTCTGATTTAAATATATTTTTTTCCAGCTTGACTCTTCAAGAGTAGGAGAGCTTTTCCAGTTTTGGTTATTGTTGCTTTGGCATCTTTTTACGGACTAACTGTAAAATTAATCACTGTTCTAGTGGCCACCATCTGCTTCTGTTGCTGCTGCAACTCTGTGCCACACACAATGAACTCTGAATGAATCTGATTTCTCGACTGAGACTGAAACACTTGACTTGACTGACGATTGTCCAGCCTCGATTTTTACCCCCCTTGCTGATGGCTCTGCCAACGTTGAGGGTTGCTTCCAGATTCAAATAACGGTTAAGAATCACAATCGTTGGTTGTGAGAGAGCAGAGAATCTGCTTTAATGCGTTGTCCTCCGTAATAAATTGAATAAAGAGTGTAGAACGGGAACAATGTTTGTGTAGTGGTATGAGTGGGCGTGCGTGTGTGTGTGTGTGTGAAAGTGAGAACCCACCCAAACTGTTGCCAATCCGTATATCCCAATTGTTGCGATTTCTCCACCAGATTGGTTAGAATGGAACTGAAATCATGTTAACTAACACAACGAATGTACTTCACTCACACTCTGCACAGAGTTCATAGGGTCAATGTGGAAAATGTATGCTCATTCTCTCTCTCTCTCTAGTTGGCACAAAAGAGAAAGCGTAACTCGCGAAATCACACGATTAAAGCGCACGAGTAACGGCAAAATTATGTTTGACACGAAAAAATCAGTTCCGTTCGAATTCACTTATTTTTTTGCTTTTGTTCAACGATTTGTCTTTGTTGTTATTGCGAATAAAAGTTTGCATGTGTTTTTGTTGGTTTTATATTTTTTGTAACATGCCGCTCTTCTTTTGCCAATGCTAACGTTGGTCTGTTTGTCCGTCAACGACTTAGCTGCGACTAACGGCACATATCCACAGTTGTTTATGTGCGTATGGGTGCGGAGAGCAGGGCATTTCGACGTCCATGTTTCATTTCCATGGAACGGAGAAATTCAATCGCAGATAATTGTGGTGCGATAACAACCACCAAAAACCGGATTTGTATGTTTTACCAAACGCAGCCCATTTGCCCACACACACACACATACACATTCAACCTCTCTTCAAACGTACCCATACTCTACTCCACACCCCAATCAAACGACTATTGGCAATTTCATGCGAGGGAAAGGGATAACATATTCTCCTTAGCTCTTTGTTTTGTTCTTTTACAACAACAATGAAATTAAATCAAAAGATTTTTTTGGACCCAGCACAATGGGAGAATTTATTTCACAATACAAAATCGTTTCAATCCAGCATACATAAAAAATTAAAGTGTGGGAAAGGAATTTAATTTTCTAAAAACATAATAATAACTACCAATGATTGACTCCCAGATATGCATAAATGTATAACATTTAAAAAAAAAAATTTTTAGACAAATGTAATTTTATAGTAAAGGGAAAATATAGCATATCCTGATTAAATAAAACCTTTTGCAAATTAATCGAATACTTTTCCAATTGCAATGAAAACTTTGCTAACTGGAATACAATATTTTGCAACTACATGTAATTCGATAACTCCATTTGTTATTCACAACATATAATTTGCAATTCGAGAATTCTATTTGCAATTCGTAACATATTAGTTATAATTATACTTACTTACTTTACTTAGCTGGCTTGTTACAAAACGGTTGTTCCATAAGCCGAGCTTAAAAAAGATTTCCAATGGAATTATAGAATTATATAATTTAGGAATTTCATTTATAATTCATAGAATACCTTTCGAAATTCATATAATTACATTTAAAATACATATACTTCCATTTGAAATTCCAATTTGAAATTTATAACATTTCATTTTATATACTTTCATTTGTTATTCATAACATTTAATTTTAAATCCGAAAAATATTATTTGTAACACACAAAGAATATGTATGAATTTGAAATGAATTGTTACGAATTGCAACTGAAATTTCATGAATTACAAGTGAAATGTTATGAATTTCAAATTGAATTATTTGAAATTTAAATATATATTTTTTTATTTCAAATGGAAATATACGAATCTCTAATGGAATTCTTTAAATTTCTAATAGAATTTTTTGAATTACATATGAAAAGTTAAAAATTATAAATGAGATATTGTGAATTACAAATGAAATGTTATGAATTGTAAATTGAGTTTTCGAATTACAAATGAAATTCTCGAATTGCAATTGAAATGTTTTGAATAACATCTGAAAAAGGTGTAGAATAAAACATTTTTTAAATTAAATGAAACCTTAAATCTTGTTCAAATATTATATTTCTAGTAGTTTTGAATTTCACATTTAAAAATTAAATTGTGATTTTTTGTGATTAACATAAATATACTTAAATTCAACGAGATTGTATTTAATACCCCTACTACACAAAACTAAAAAGCAATATAAACTGAACCTTTTAGAAATATAGTTTTTGCCTACATTTTACAGAAACGCCTTGTTTTTGTTGCTAAAGGCGTCGCACATAGGGAAAATGTGTAGTAAAAGTTGTAAAAATCGCAAATTATTGTCCAACTGATATAAAATTTGGTATAGACCCTAGTTTTGGCCCTAGAATATATCCTATAGAAAATTACGAGAATTATTCCAGATTTGAATACAACCTCCGCATATACTATCATCCGATATCAAATAACTAACGCGATACATGTCTGTTAAATTGATACAAACATCCACAATTATCCGAAAGCAACGTGTACCACATTTGATTAAAATCGGTTCGCATTTATATATACTCCCAAAATCTTTTTTATACCCTACACAACTATGTTGTCAGGATATTATAGGTTTGTGCGGCCCAAGAGTTTGTAACTCCGAGAAATATTCGTCCTAGACCCACCTTTAAGTATACCGATCGTCATATCGCGACTAGCTGAGTCAATTTAGACATGTCTGTCAGTCCGTCCATTATAATTTATAAACACGATACAGGCCACAGTTATGGACCAATCTTCACGAAATTTTGCATGTAGGACGGGTTCTGGCCAATGAAGACCCCTATTGTTTTTTGTCGGTTTTTCTGGTCGCTCCAGAGGCCGCATATATGGCCCGAACATCGTGAAATTTTACATGGAGAAGGGGATAGGGCCAAATAATAAGCTCGGTCAATATATAGCGGGTCAAATGGACACTGACTTTTGTGTGAAAAATGACAAAAATTGTATTTTATGTCGTATATATTTACTCCTAAAGGACATAGATCCGAGAAGTTGATAATATATCCAAGATGAGTGATAGCCTTGATCTTTAAATTGATATCAATTTGATAGTCGTATGTTCTCGGATGTGGGAGCTACACTTAAATACTTACGTATTCAGATATTATTTAGTAACCCATTACCACACTAGAGGCGGAAATATAACGCTGATCGATTTGAAATTTTCCATGGGGTTCCAGTTATGGTCAAGGACAGCAGCTAAAATTTTCGGTGAGATCGAAAAAATATTTTGGGATGAAGTGGACCGAAAACGTATTTTTTTTGTATTTTTCGAATCGATCTATAGGCCACAGTTATAAGCCGAGTATCAACCCACGGTGAAGACAATCTGGACAAGTAATTAGAAGGGCTGTACTGAATATTAGAAATATTCGGAAAATATGTCATATGTCAGGGTATGGCAGAGTTGCTGTTGACCTCTAATCGGACAAGAGGGTGGAAATGTCATGAAATATTGCCCAGGCTCGGAATAAACATCGGCAGAAAGTTAGAACTCCGTCGAAGACTATACTGCTCCGCTCATGTTTTTTTTTTTTTTTTTTTGTATTTTTTGTCTCATATTTCATTAGAGAAACAGATGATTTTGTCCTATTGGTGCAAGCTTATAAAAATTTTACGATTAAACATGATGCATTACAGATCAATGAATACATTGAATTAGAGTTGGCGAAGAAGGCCAACGGGTTTTTTTCACGCCTCGAAAAAAACTTACAGATTTAACCATGTACCATGTGGAGAAAATGGTACATGGTTAAATTCAATAAAAATTTTTATTATTGAATCTGATGCTCTAGAGTTTGGCGCATTAAACAGCAGAAGTAACTTCTATTAGCAACCCTTGGCAACGTATAATTTTTTGCCATTTAAAATTTAAGTTATCTTAATTATAAAAACATATTGAAGTCAAAGAAGATGTACTCCAGTTTTCAACTTCTGAGATAAAGCCTCAAAAGCGACTTCAAATATACATGACTTTAGGCGTCATTGCTAATTATGGGAATATTTTGAACTTTTTATATTCTTTACATGAATAAGAAATACCAAGCGTTATTATTACACTTTCAAAATTTGGTGAATCCTTTATGAGTTCCCAATTTTAGAGTTTTTATTTCAAATATTTATTGTAAGAAATATTTTTTTTTTTTTTTTTTTTGTAGTACATTTGGACATTAGTGTTGAAGATAATGGTGCGTTTCCGAACGTAGAATAACGAATAGAGCAGAATAAAATAATTGGCGAGTAGTGATACGAAGGGGCTGCAACATGGAATTCCATACAAGTTTTAATATATCACTGTATATTATTAGTTTAAAGATATCTATTGTATCTTCAACAATGAAAAAGATACGATTTTTAAGGTATCCTGATATTTATTATTTTTTCATAACACAACTCCATATGTTCATGTTACTTATTTATTTCTTTCGCAAAACTATCCCCATTGTGCTGTTATGCATTTACCCGCCAACAACAAAAACAATGAGATCATAAATGCTATTGGAATCTTT